TTAACGTCAGTCAGTTTGACGACACAGATGGCGGAGCGTCCCGCTGTTATCATGTACAAACAAAAGCACTTCGGTACAATAGAGGCAAAATTCTCCCTTTTGTGTTGTGTGCTCGTAGAAGCACAGACTGACAGTAATTGTAATTGTGTAAGGAGGAAGGAGAGGCCTCCACTTGCCCGCAGGTAGCTGTTACCCTCCACAGTGCTGAAGCGGAGGGAGAGGATAATCTTTGTCTGCTAGCCGCGATGATGAGCCATTTCAAATAAAGAAGAAGGAAGACTCTAACAGGCACTATACAGGCACTTTCCCACAGCTGATCAATGGCCTGTGGGGAGGTATTGTGTAGATATGGTCAACACTGACACCAACAACTGAGCATTTCATTTCAAATGACAATCTCTGAACACGTGTGTTCAATGTGGAAGTTTGAATTGTTTTTACTTAAGACATGTATGGGTTGATTTGCATTGATACATGCAGTCACCCCATCCTCTAACATCTGCCAGCTTTCGGAGATGTAAACAGGAAGTTTAATGTGCCCATGGAGTCAGTTATGCCCCTTTCACACCAACATTCTAGCTCCGTGCTAGTGCTCTTCTGGTTCGGAACCGGTTTTTATTTTCAGCCCCCGTTTTGTTCATACCACCAAGAGCCCGACAGGTGATGCCGCTGCTGCGTCATGACGTCACGAAGCCAGATTAAATTAAATAACGACTTCTCCAACCTTATAGTTTTCTCCAGTGCCGTGGTTCATTGTTTATTAATGTGTTTCAGCGGCATTTACCGACCGCTGCAGTGCTGGCTGCTCTTCCACGGGAGTTTATTCTCCCGTTAACTCACACGGCAGCGGCCACTGTAAAGTATTCACTGTCTGACTGTCTGTCACACAAGCAGCTGATACATATCCCCAGTTCCCCATAAATGAATTTGTTTCGGTATGAATTGACGCTGTTTGGCATCACAACGCTGTTATGAAAGTTTCTCTGGTATAAAATGGGTGATGTTAGCATAGCAACCGAAGCTAAACTGACTATAACTTGACTACTTGTTGCTAACCAACACAGTCTCACGGCATTTGGTGTTAGAGTCACGAAATTAATCTATTGATTCGTGTTCACCAACACGATTTCATCATTTTTTTCGTGTCACACAGTCGGAAATGACAACCTGTGCGGCCCATGTATTGATTCCATCCGATAGCTGCTATGATACAAAAACAAAACGTCTGCCTGCTCTCCATTATGGGTACTGCAATTTTTGGAAGTGCCGGAGCGACGTTCTGGTGCTCTCCGTCAGAAATACACCCCTGTCAGGCGAGACATATACCACGTGATGACACGTTAGGCTCATGTTGTGTTCAAGGACCCTGACTTTATAAAGTGTGTGGTTGCGTTCTAGTCACTTTGCTCAGCCCTACTGCTTGTTTCAACTTGTATTTGCCGTACTCGCCATAAACTGTTAGCTCAGGTTAATCGTGCCCCCCTCCGACGTAAGCGTGATGTATGCGGTTCTTGCTTCTAGACCGATTTTTTTTGGTGTTTGGTAAACACCGGTTTTCGGTGCTTAGAGCCGGCTCCGCTGCGGTGTGAACAGGAAAAACCGGTACCTATCAGGCTCTAGCTCCGAACCGGCCCTGGAACCGCGTTGGTTTGAAAGGGGCATGTTGGCTAGCTGAGAAACGTAACTTAGCCTACATTTGTTTACATTTTGTAAACATTTAAAGTATGATGAATCAGCTATTAGCATTTCCTGTTTGTATTCGATTTGTATATTTACATAAAATATCACCAGATTACTTTAACAATTAAAGAAACACCAATACTCTCATTCATGTTCTGGAGTTATAAGAAGCGTCTTTTTTATGATTTCTTTCTTACTTGCGGTGTTCATTACAAAAAATTATATCCTAGATAATTGTAAACTCCACTGAATCTAATGTTCGTCATGTCTGTGTAGTTTTGAACACCTCACAGTGTAAATATGTTCTCTAAAGTAACCAGACACTGACAAATGAAAAAGTGGAAAAATGTGGAGGATAACAAAATCACACATGAAGAAATACAGTCAGGTCCAAAAATGTTGGACATTAAGACCATTTTCATAACTTTGGCTCTATACACCACCTGAGTACACCACAATGGACTTTAAACATGTGCTTTAAGTGCATACTTTCAGCTTTAATTTACAACACATTTTATAAGTGGTATCTCCTTTTTAAGGGACCAAAAGTGATTGGACAATTGGCTGCACAGCTGTTTCATGTCCAGGTGTGTGATATGTTCTTGTTAGTTCATTTACAATGAGCAGATAAAAGGTCTAGAGTTCATTTCAAGTGTGGTATTTGCATTTGGAATGTGTCGTTGTCAATCTTCAATTGGAAGTCTAAAGAGCTGTCACTATCAGTGAAGCAAGCCATCAGTAGGCTGAAACATCAAAACAAACCCTTCAGAGGAATAGCAAAAACATTAGCTGTGGCCAAATCAACAGTGTGTTACATTCTTAAAAAGAAATAACGCACTGGTGAGCTCAAAGCCCTTCACAACAGTTGGCTAGATCAAGAAAACTCTCCAGGAGGTGTCAAAGTTAAAAATCAAGACAGTAAATGCCGAGGGTTCCCCAAACGATGTGAACCATTAGTGACCCTCAAAACCAGGAAGACCAGATTAGAGTTTACTAAAACACATCTAAAAGTTCTGAAACAATATCCTATGGACAGATGAGACAAAGATCAACTTGTACCAGAATGATAGGAAGAGGAGAGTATGGAGAAGGGAAGGAACTGCTCATGATCCAAAGCATCTCATCAGTGAAGCATGGGGGTGGTAGTGTTAGGGCGTGGGCATGTATGGCTGCTAATGGGACTGGTTCCCTTGTATTTATTGATGATGTGACTGCTGCCAAAAGCATCAGGATGAACTCTGAAGTCTTTCAGGCAATATTATCTGCTCATATTCAGCCAAAAGCTTCAGAACTCATTGGACGGCGCTTCATATTGCAGATGGGCAATGACCCGACGCATACCGCGAAAGCAACCACAGTTTGTTTAAGCAAAGAAGTGGAATGTTCTGAAATGTCCAAGTCAATCACATGACCTGAATCCAATTGAGCACGCATTTCACTAGCTGAAGACAAAACTAAAAGGGAAACTGCCCAAAGAACACGCAGGAACTGAAGACAGCTGCAGTAGAGGCCTGGCAGAGCATCAGGGACAAAACCCAGCGTCTGCAAAGGATGTGCAACTAAATATTAAAAGTGACAATTTGATTTATGATTATGATCCAATTACTTTTGGTCCCTTAAAAAGGGAGATACCACATATAAAATGTGTTGTAATTCCGACACTATTCACATGATTTGGATGTAAATACCCTCAAATTAAAGTCTGCACTTCAAGCACATATTGAGTGTTTCATTTCTAGTCCATTGTCGTGGTATACCATTCTCACAGACTGTAAAAATAATCTCTGCAAAGGTAGTAGCTCGATCCCTAAGGGAGAATTTAAGTTATTACTCATAAGCTTACAATGCCCCCCCACCCCCCCTGGGGTTGTAAGACTTACACATTATTATGCTGTGATGGCTAAAAACTCTCAGCGGGGGCAGATCAGACATGGCACAAAGAGAAACACGGAACTGAGAGGGAAGGGGAAATCCTACTTTGATGTATTTTTTTGTACCCAACAATAAAGGGGAACTATGAGAAAAAGGGAAGACCCATCTTAGGAATCATTTACATTTTTAAACTGTATATTTCTGGTACTCATACTTTGAAATGTGCATTTTGCCCCCAAAAGTTACTTTTTAGCCTAGACCACATGAACTTAATGGATATCATGGTACTGTATTGTGTTTTTATTATCTTACTTTTAAACGTGTTGCCAAATACTGGCTACACACTCTTTCCACAGACAAACAGTCTGAGGAGGGGCTCTCACATCCTGGACCATAAACTTTCTAAACTCTAGAGAAAAGTCAAATGTCCTTCGTTAATGGTGTGTAATTTATTGCTGCTGTATGATTGATGATGCTCTTGATCAGTTATTATTGTGTTCGGTACTACAATTGATTCCCAAAGTGAAATGTATGTACAGTACTAGCATTAAGCATGTTGAGAATCTGTCAGCTCAACACAGATGAGGCTATGAGAAAAAAGTTGGATCGAAGTGAAGATAAAATAGAATATATAAAACCCCCAGCTGTCTCGGTCACTGCAGCTCTGCTCCTCGCACGTCCCCTGCTACAAACAGATCTTAGCAATCTGTTATTTCTGTGTGACTGGCTGGAGCTGTAACTAAGCAGCCTGCAGGCTGAGTGATGGAGCGGCAGTCAGTATGACGCGGGATCAATTGGAGAAATATAATATACTCCAGGTAGCAACCCCCTGCCGACTCCAGCCTGGAAAATAACGATGTGAGCCATTGCAAACCGGCTCCGAGGTATAACTCCACTACATGTAGTAAGTCAAGCATTTTCCCACGCCACTGGTCCTGTGTCTAACTGTATGCAGAAGCACAATTGCTGAGCCTTTCTTCAGAAGCAACGACATGTCGCATGGTGGCCTTTTGCAACCTAGTGAGAGCGGCAGACTATTTAAAAGGAGGAAGCCTGTTAGAGAGAGTCTGCAATATCTTCCATTCTACTGTGATCCTTTGCTAAAGATCCACAAGTGACTTTTACAAGTTCACAGTGAGTATTGCTTTTCACCATTACGTGAACAAATCTGTTCTCTTAATGAGTCATACAAAGTGTGATAAAACAGTTCACTATACATAGCCATAGTTAATAGAAAGTACATAGCAATAATTCCTAGATGAATTGTACTCTCTCCAACATCTGGTGTCTCCTTTTTGGATCGTAACCACACATGCACAACATAGTGAGATTCCCATGTGCAGTCACTCAGGGCTACCTAGGGAGGGATCTCTATGACATCGCTATTGCTGTACTCTCTGTACTTTACTGAGTCCCTGGCAGTGTGACCTTATTATGATTGTGCTCAGCTGGCTCGCTAGCCACCGAAGCCCCCGCCCTAAACCCCTTCCAGTCAGAGCTTGACCAGCCAATGATCGGCTTTGTTCCCCCAGCTCACACTCTCCAACCATCTGGACACACGCCCAAGAGAGAGTCAGGCTATGTGGGGTAAGAAAGGCTGCAGCATATATATGTGAAAAGGAAGCTGTGCAGCTTTTGTTATACGTGTGAAACTGAATCGGTTGTTTGCTCAATTGCAAAACGGCCTTCAAATTGTACAGCATGTGCACAGTTGTACACTGTGGCATAGATAAACAGCCTCCAATCACAAACATATTGAAAATCAAAGTAAAAGCTGGAGATCTGAAATGTACAGACTTTTGGCAGGATCTTTTAAAACGTTTGAGTATTAAATGTGCACAATGAATACAGATAAGGATGTTCCAAGGTACTGATATTATCAGATTCATCACACTTTGGTGAAACATAAACCAATTGTTGAGTTTCTCTGAGATAAATTGTGTACCATAAAGTAACACAAGCAGATATGCTAACAGGTTACAAAAACCGGGGAACTCTGTTTTGTTCTCATCTATTTCTCTACTCAACCCAAGTTAAATGAAATCAAAAGACAGTCAAGAAAATCGAATGTTTAATCACAACCTCTGAATGTATTGTGGAAGTATTTTTATCTCATGTTTTACACAGGTAATCACAAATGGTATTTAAAATATAGAGCATTCTTGAATGCACAAAAGGAGAGCTTCTAACAGCCCCTGCTTAAAAATATCTCATGCCGTCAGAATATCAACAGTTTCTCCAGCATGCGGATTGCTACAGTAATAGCTGCCAACCATTGGTTTTCTTTTAAAAGTATTTGCGAGTGAAAAGTTCACACGATCCTTCCTCAAAGTGGTTCCACTTTCTTATTCCTTTTTTTGTGATTGAAACCAGAGAAAGGCAAAGCTACTTATCTTTAGAAATGTTAAAATATACCAGCCGTTTTCAGTCACTTGTCAAGTTTTGACCTGTTACAGAAACTGTAACACCAGAATAATACATACTGAAGAACAGTGGTGTATCAGGTTGAAATGATTTAAAGCAGTTCCTTAATATGCATTTGTCTTATCTGTTTTCTCCTTGTCTTCTGGATATTGAATATTGCATTTCTGCATTTGTTTTAGATGCACGGAGGACTAACAGTAAAATAAAGTTTGTGTATTTGTCTACAAATATGAGTGCATCTATGAGCGCTGGTGTGAACCACAGAGCCCCAGTGGGTGACATTATATCATTTGAACCCCAGAGGGGTGTTAAATGTGGACATGGCCTGAAGCTCAAGTCCATGGCAGCAGGAATGCCAGCTTGCTGGACAGGAGCCACTTTGGATTAGATCCCTGCAGCCAGAGAACCCTGAGCAGCGAGGGACAGCCGAGACCAGCAGCCAGCCAGCAGTGTAATGAGGATCAGCAGGCAGGGTTAGCCACTGCTGCTAACCTTTAGTTACCACTGTGCTTCATCATAGGTGCTTGGAGATGGACAAATGGCTTTGTGTACCCCTTTACCTCACACATTTATCACCTCTGAATAGGGGGTAGTGTGGTGTTGTCTGACTATCCTCTTCACTTACATGAATGTTTTTTTCGAATCTGCAAATTATTTTCTTCCTCAAATTAATTGTTGTAAGGTGACATCATGAAATGTATTGTTCTTTCAACAAACAGTCCTAAAAGCAACTTAAAAATTGAATCAATCCACAAAAATGTTGCAAATAAATTCATGATCAATCTAGGCATGGATAAATTGTTGCAGTGCTACTCTACACTTACCAGCAGCACTCTTTTTCATCTTCTTTGAAATACATAAACAGAGACAACAACAATGACTCTAGATTACTCTTAAGCTATGAATGTTCACATCTTGACTGCACATTTTCACAAACTGCAAAGATCCTCTTAGGAATTCATCACACACGCATCTGTCACGGAAACAGTCATCAAATCATTTAGTTTGGATTTCATCAATCTTTGTTTCTAATTTTGAAACTGGATAAAGCAAAACTGTTCTGCCAAACTTATCATGGTACATTTATTTTTAAATGATTTTCTAAGATATTTAGAGTAAAAAAAAACACGCTCCTCAATTTCCAGACTAAAATATTGACATGCTTGATCTAGACGAATAAGGTCCACGTGTTAACTCGGGGCATTCGGGGTAATTGTCTTAACGTCCCGTCCCCTTTTCTCCTTAACATGCGTTGGGAGCTCTAATCTGCTAACACAGACCTTTGGCAACATTAAACACAAACTGCTCTGTCATTTCCACATGACTGTGTGCTTTCTGTCTCAGACGCATGTAAAAACACTCGTCAGACAATCTATTCATCTGCTGATAAACCGCCCAACTATGAATTGACCAGATCAGTGAGTCAGTGGTGTTCCACACGCCTAGCGCTGCAGGATAAACCGTTTTTATTGTCGTTGCGATGTCAACAAACACAAATTGTAAACATGATTATTTTTTATTGGTGCTTTTTGTGTTCAGCTCGATGTTTCATTCGTACAATAAAATAGTGTTTATTTAATAAGCAATTTGTTGTTTTGCGGATATACAGAACTAGGTAGACTTAAATATGTTTTTTTCTCATACTGCTACATCACAACAGGGTGCAAATACAATTTTTATTATCTGTGGGACAAGCTTGTTAGTTAGTTATTTTGGCTTGATATTCGTAAAAACTATACACAAAAAAAAGACAAAACTATTGTCCAACTGTTTTAATGATTTGTCCCGAGCTGTCGGAGCAGAGCAGAGCATTAGCACTGAAGCTATTGTTCGGAGTCAGGAGCCTGACAGGGGCCCCAGCCACCAGTCGTTTTGAACCAGGCCTGGTATGAGGGGCCCCTGAAGAGAAGACCGAGCAAATTAGTACCTGGAACGTACAAAGAGAGAATCTTCAGTTCAGTTCAGTTCATCTCACAGCATGTGTCCCCAGGAGAACAGATCACACTGAAAAACAGTGATTTAGTTCATTTTCCATAAAACACAAATTCTGATTCATACAAGAAAATTGTCCTGCATTTGTATGAATCAGACTTGAACATTAAAATAACTAGAGGGCATCTATTAAAAAAGGTTTCCGGTCAAATCATTTAATAAAATTGTACTGCTCTGAAAAGTTTGCCTGATATTTTATTCGAGCAGAATGAAAGCGGCATGATTATGATGTTCATTGTCTAAAATGCACATTAAAAGATACACACAACTGCACAAGATGTACAATGACATCAATCATTTACTTTCAAATCTTACATCTTACATCAGTTTTAAACATTATAGGTTTTTTTGTCTTCATTCTGACAGACAGTTCTTAAAGTAACCATCATTTTTGAATTGCTTTATTGAATGTAAAAATAGGATGCAAGTAAAAAGATGTAACCTTTGTATTACGTTTCAGTTTGGAGATGTGAGATGTGACTCTTGGTGTGGACACTGAAGAATATGTTAACAGGCACTGCATTCCTTTAAAACAGTAAGCCTCCATCAACCCTGGTCTGACCTGGACCTACAGAGATGTTCATTTCTGTTAGATCACTTAATGAGAGGATAAACATGACCGAGCAGCACCTCTGCCACTCTGCCACTTGTCAAACTGGACTCAGGAACATAAAACACCAACTCCTGCTCTCAGCCTGCTGCTCATCTGTCTGCCAGTTCACAACAATGTCTAACAATGTCAGCAAGAGGATTCATTTAATCTCACAAAATATATAATCTAATGCTTTTACATTGTTCTCGTAGGCTGAATACAAATAAATGAATCTGCAGAATCATCATTGGATTTTGAATATGTAGTAGATAAAATAATCAATGAGTGTTGCAACAGTATATGAGACTATGTGTGTTTGCTACAACTTGTGTCTAAAATCTAAAGTCACTATGTACTTACTGAAAGATTACATGGCAGGGTAAAAGGTTTCAACAGTCCTCAGACCTCCCTGCACGCCCCAGTTGGTTGACCCCCTTCCTCTAAGAGCAGCCTTGTTGTCTTCCCAAACAGCGTGTTAAATGCCATCTGACATGTGAATAAACATCGTAGGGGCCCTCCAAGTCTACCAGGGGACAGGAAGCTGGGGAAGCCCCAGACAGGACTCCGGCGACATGCAAGGAGTTGTGATGAGGCACCAGATGAGGGTGTTGTTTACATATTTCTCTGGTAGGGCACATGGGGAGGCCCTACCGTAAACCCCCCGGCTTTCAGAATACTGTGAGTGGATTTTGAGAAGCAACGTTTTGATCGTGAAACACGGGAGGAAATGAAAGTTAAATCTCATAAAATGAAACTGGGCCAGGATTGAAAGCGACCAGGCAGTCATGTTCATTCAGGGATGGGGTCGGGGATTTCCACTCAGCATGCATGCTTATTACATTTAACTCTTGAAATGATGAATATCGAGACAAAGTCTCTTCTTCACTTGGGAAACGTTTCTGAAAACAGAACACAGCTAAAACATGGAGCCTGAAATCTCCCTTCGGAAACACAAGATGCTCCCGCTGGGTGAAATCAACATTATGTCACCTTCTTGCCAACACAGCTGCTGAAAATGTAGCAGCTTATAACAGTGGCTCGGCAAAATGTTCTCTAACTAATGACTCACAGATGCAAATGCAGCTTTAGACGCTTACCTTACTGGTTTCTCTCTGGGTGTTTCCATTGCTTATCAAGAGGTCATCTGACTGCCTGTTCTACAACTCCGATACTTTATCTCGTCGGCTTCTTCTGCCCTTTCTGCTCGGTTGAATCTAATTTCTACATAACTGTCAGATTGCCTGATGAACTGTGACATGTAAAGTGAGAGGATCCAGCAGCAGACCCCTGGACTGAGCCCACATCCATACGGCACATTCGAGCAAATCAATACTTTTCATTAGATGGATTAAAGCGTGTGCTGCTAATTCAGTTAACCAGAGACAATCACTTGCCATTTACATGTGATTGGCTGAGTTAGCCTCCCTTTAACTGAGTTAACAGATCATCTTTTTTATTCAAGTTTCCCCTAATTCATTATTGTTTAAATGCCTTAACTCTATTAACCCTTATCTCAAGGGCTCACGTTCTTGTCCATTTCCTGTTGAAGTCATGCAGACTCAATCTATGCAACCTCTGT